AACATGAATGTGGCTGAAATTTCTTCACCGACCTTTTTTCCCCCTACAAACGAGGTCCAGTTAATGGGACCATTGAGTTGTTGTTTTCGTTTTTAAGGTGATTCATGTATAACGTCGGATTATACTACTTTTTCATAATAATTAATGCTGAAACAAAAACAAAACCATCGCCTATGTGATAACGAAGGGGATCTCTAATGATAGGCTAGGCGGTTACAGTTTATCAACAAGAAGTAGCTGTGCATTATTGTAAATAAGACGTTTTCCCACAAACAAACGAAACAAACGAGTGAATCATTCAATTTTTCGATGCTTGGCCAGATTTATCTTATGTATATTAGATAGACTTCACTGTTAATATAGAATTGCAATGCCATTTCATAGATACCAGTTTATTAAGTCTGTGGTTTACATGTCACTTTCAATTCTATTGCATTCTTAATGTTCCTAGAATTTTTAATTAGTTATCACACGTTCGGGACAAATATATTTCATTATGAGCTATAAAGGTAAACGTGTTTTATGTTCGTTAGTATGCCTAATGGTTCCGCATTAGAGAATTACCCTTCCGCGACAACTGTTCTAATTTCCATTATACATTTCCAATGATCTCTGTATACATCTTGTTTTTGTTCACACTTCGGTCAAATTCAATAGAATTTGAATATGAATTAATATTCTGTTGACATGTTCTATTTTCCTGTTTTTGATTAAAGTCCAATTCGTCACACGTGTGGTTAACCCCTTGGAAATCTTGCATTTGTCTCAAAAGGCACCTGTCCATTGGTTATACTTGAAAAAACATAAAAATGGATTATCAGGCTTATTCAAGATTTACTACACAGTCTGATTCCGACCTTTTATTCAAATTTGCAATTCAATGAATAAAATATCAGTGGAGCGTTATTTGAAAAGTAAGACGGAATACATTACACATTACTGACAATATTATATTGCGTCACTCTACAGTTAAAAGATGAAAGATTTAACGATTTGACTGAATCAATTAATGACCTGTGTTTTTGTTTCCAGATGATCATGATAGAAGATATGAAGCAAAGGATCGAAGCGGAATTTTCGAGTTATATCAGAAGAAGGACTAATTAATGATAGAGGTGGTTCTATTAACATCGGACACTTAACATAAAGAACATAAGCAGACTCCATTGTTCTGGTATCCACATAATTGGAAACATATCACAGACTGTCATTCTTTTACAATGTTTTCTGTAATTAATTTAATTTTGTATATACATATTTACATTTACAGAATTCATTGAACAGCCAATCAAGTGTCTAATGTAACCAACTATTTAATATCTGTCCGTCATATCCACAAGTTCATATAAGACAGTAGAATAGGTTTTGCAATCTGATTAACCATAATTTTTTGCAAGCAGAACAGTTCGAGTTACAAATATAAAGAACGGTTATGGTTATATGACAGTTGGAATTCAAATGTATATGACGTCACTTCAGCATAGATAACGTCTTAGGTATACGGGAAATAAAAAGATTTTTGTGACATTATATGAGATGAACAATATTACTGTCTAGACTATCTCGGCGCTATAGCAAAACTATTTCATCAATGTTGACCTTCATTGTAATGCTCACTTGGAGCAAATAACTAGTGATTTTAAGACATGGATCCACGTCCATTATACCGTTTGTGTGTACGACATTTTCCAGAATGTCTGAAGAGATTTTGACTAAATTTGCTCTACCTCGCCTTTTGGCAAACGTAGATCAATATTGAATAATGGGAGGATCGATCTCTTTTAAGGAGCAGGCTAGGCAGAACTATGTTATGGACGTTAAAATTCCTTCTCTGTGTCAGGTTAAAATAAGAAATTTTAAGAAAGGAAAGTGTGGAATAAAGATGACTTTTATGGAGTTTGAACAGCTGAACACCATTGGGATTTACACAAGGTAGATAGATCTCCAAAATACTTCTTCTGTTTCTAGATGTCCCTGGTCTATTTCGGGATCTTCAGTTGGAGTGGTTTTCAGTAAAGGGGATTTATACTTGCACTAATATACACTGAGATTTCCAGACCCCTGTAAAACAAAGGGTAAAGTAAGGGGAGAAAGAAAATCTTTAACAAAACGGATTTCACCAAATCAGTTGTGAAATATCGAAGGCTGAAGGTTACTCCATTTTCTATAAACTAGCTGTCAGGATCCCACGGATCCCATGGATGCAGAGAGCGTCTTCTAACAGTGACAATAGAAATAAATATTTAAAAAAACTCATTTTGTTAGGATTAATGGATTTTGAACAAATATGGTCTGAAGCAATACTGGATTGACTTTGGACCCAATTGAGCTTTACAGGCCCTATGAACCCCTTGTCCGTTCTTTACTATATTTTGTATTTTATCTATTGGTTGTAAATTAAAGGAAATTAGATACGACTATATATAAATGTGTTCCATTTTAATTTATTAACGATGATGAAAACATTTATCACATAGTCTAAAGTTTGTATCCGAGTAATATTGCGACAATACAGTGATTATGGCAAACTGCTTTTATCACAACTTAATCACATTGATCTGTTGCGTAAGTATGGTACCGGCAAAATTAGACATATGAAAAAAAGACACAATATATTGACAGAACAACGACTTTTATTATCATCTTCCAACTTATATTAATCAAAAGTATTCACATATATGACTTTTTTTTTAATGAAACCGTCTTACGGACAGACATTTTAAACATTTGAGAAGACATCAAATAATTGTTGAATAAGGTTAAATATATATATATGTATGTATGGCTTTCTTTCTTAAATTAAGATTTTTATTTCTGATATAAACATTATGGCGAATTTAAGTCGATTTCATATAGATGAAAGAATGCATGTTAATAAGAAGCTAAACATTCCCAATATTAGGCGGGTAAGCGTTTCCGTATTTGGTGACATTATCATTTAAATTCTACAATTGATGATTAACATTCATGGTATTTATAAACAAACAGAAAGCAAAATCAAAACAGATATGAACAACAACAGACATTTTAAATGTTGATAATAAGGATAGTACAAACACACACAAGTGATTAGCACTTTTTCATAATGTAGTGTGATATACAAGCCAAGCAATGAACTAAACTCCATCAAACAGCTGTTTCGTCCTTCTAGGAATTATTATAACTAATTCCATCAGCTGTACTCATAATACGAGGTAATCAACATCAATGATAACAACAACGATCAATATATGATTTTTTTGTTTCATAACCAATATTGAACATGTTTTTATTGAAAAAAAAAAACAGAATCCATGTTTACGTTAGTCAATCACACTGGCTTATATGATTAATGCGTAGGTTACACGGATTACGTGAATCCTATCTAAAACTCACTCCCTCCTACGCAGTCTGTATTCCATAGGAGGAAATTGCGGTCTAGATTAGGAAACACGTGTTGGCGTAACGTTAAAAACTGATAATGGTGTTCGATGACCTGGCATTATTTTGATGTTATTAAGACGACTACAGAAATCTGTGCACCATGATGATATTAAAAAATCGTAGTTTAACACCGTTGAACAAGTGTAACATTGTTGAAAGGCAAATATTTACAGGAACTGAAACTACAAATTGTCACAACTCTAACGGAGATTATAAGAATTGGAAAGACAAACATTCACCAAAGAAACGGAACATATCACAATAAGAACGACAAACATTTGCAACTATGACTGTAGTAACAATATAGGAACGAAAAACATTTACAACTATGACTGAAGTAATAGATTTGGAATGACAAACAGAAAAAGTTCATTGAAATTTCTGCAGGATTTCCGAAGCAGCTTCATAAAGATAAATGTTAATTATTTTGATACAATTATAATAAATAAAAATAAATAACAAAAACAAAAAAGCACGAAAACTTATTCTTATTTGTTTGGTATACGAAAATATACCAGTCTATAAATGGCATCGGATTGTATAAATGTTTCCTCGAAGAGATCACTTTCGTTAAGATACAATTCTAAAAGGATGTATAGAGCGAGTCGTGTATTCTTTGTATGATCAATGCATCATTACACTTATTTTTTACTGAAAATACTTGCTGATAGAGGAATTTAACTTAAGTAGTTTATGTTTAAAAAAGAAATATATACAAAACAAGAAAAATATTAAAAATTCTTTCCTGAGAAACAAATCGTATTTGATACATTTAGCCTTGTCAGGACTTAAAAACATATACCTATTTTAAGCATGGTTATCATTCCATCTGTTTTGTCTACATGCAAATAACGTATTCGCTATTCCCAACAGTATTTGTCTTAGTAACAAGACCTAAAATAAATATATCCAGTACTGAAAAATGATAATGTCGGAAGTATCAGTATATATCATATACACAATTATAATCCAAACTCAAATTCAATAAGTCTAGGGCAAAAAACGAAGTAAAGAAATATTTAAATGGAGACTCATGAAAACGTCCAAGCAGAATAAGACCAGGCTTTCTGGAAGAGTAAGCGTCTTCTGCTTAATCAACGTCACCCTACATGTAAACCAATCCGTGTAAGTACTGTCATGATCTCAAATGAGGACACGGTATATAACAAAGGAACCGAAAGCAAACTAACGAGCATCAAACACATCCAGCTTCGTTCGATTTACCTTATTCTGCTTAACTTGAATACCACAATCCGGATGGGTACACGTAAGCTGTAATAGGAATATTTAATCCTTGAAATTAAAACGGATTCGCAAATTCATTATGAACTGATATGAAGAAAAAATAATCATTGAACAATGAAGCGGAATCTAACTTATGTACGTGTTAATTAGAATGTTGTTGTTTATTCAAGCAAGACAAAAACAACACACGTAAAAAATATTTCTATCGAATCAAAAGTAAATACGATACCGACCATATGACGACAAAACATCAGAGTATCATTACAACACATGTTTTATATACAGTTACTGTAGTGATAGAAATGTTCCTTTTGATAACAGGGATAGAGTGTTTATGTAGATATTACAAAAATAGGATTATTTGGGACGAAGGCAACTTTAGAATCGACTTCGGCAATGTGTTGCAATGTTTTTTCTGCTCGTGCACAATTATGGGATGGTAGTGGAATACCTGCTTGTTCCAAACGAAGCATAGATTCCATACGTTCTGTATTTTTCTTGAATAAACACAGAAGTTTCATGACATGGAATCGGCTTTCACGAAATCTACTGATGTAGAATAGCGGATTTATGGAAATTATTGTAATCAATAAGATGGAACACACCAAGTACACATTGAAAATGTTCTGATTGTTCTTATCATACCAGAGGGCGACGCTAGAGGCACAAGATGTAATACTTATCATGTAGAGTGCAAAGGTAACCCCACAGATGAGGAAGGACATTCGGAAGGTATTGTAGAGATTGTCTGTGGACGTAAAGCTTGTGGCTGACAGATACCGTTTTGATTGGTAGAAAATGACAGCATAAGAAACAGTGGTCAACAAAACCGATGATGCGAAAATCATGACCATGGAGTGTAATCCGAATTCATTCATGTGTAAGTAAGTGGAACAGATTCCTTCATTTACTTCTATGTCGTTATTGAACGACAGACCAAATATAACATAGAGGACCAGCGTCAAAGATATGCATATTATCAAAACCGACTTTTTGGTACTATTACGCTGGTAAGATAATGGCCAAACGACCGACACTAGTCGATCCAATGCAAAAACGGTTGTCAAGACAACGGGCACTATGCGATATCCGGCCCATAATATGCTCTTTAAAGCGCACGGAACTATATGATACGTATTGTAGTCTACAACCATGACCACAGGAAAAATACAGCTAATAAAGAACGAATGTACTGTAATGAAGAGTAAAATCAACCTGATTTGTAAAACCAACAATCGACACCTAGAAAACACGAGAATCCCTAATCCATTTAAGATAATACTCAAAAGTACCGCCAGAGCAGACACTGTCATTGTTATCTCTATAGCAACCGCCATTTTTATCACTACTGTATCATAACTAATATTATTATAAGTTACAAATTCCGATCACTTGCTGATCTCAGTAACTTGAGTATTTCAATTGATTTTAAATGATATATTATTTAAATTACAAGTGACTGAATTAAAAGTAAATAATAAAAATACTGCTAAATGATTTTCACTTAAAAGAGAACTAGTTTATCCATTGATGATCCTACATACAGGAAGTATTATCAAAACACAAAAATCAGTTACAATAGAATCTGTATATCTCACACTTACAGACGATACCTTGTAATTTGATGACAATACATGTTTCTTATGAGCTTTTTATATCCAATTATGACCACACGAGTATAGATCTAAAACTGAGGATAATTTCCGAGTAACCAGTCAAGCATTAAATTAAATGCACTGAAGAATATCCAGTTCAAATAGGAAACAAATTTCTGATAACATTTGACACTGGCTCCAAATATATCACAAATTCTAGGACAGTTTCTAGTTGATAACAAAGGCTCCGTCTTAAAAATCATAAAAGGTCTGTTACATCATTCTCGACAGCAGAGTCTGAATAAATGCGCCTCCGTCTTTTAAAAAAAAGGATATTAAACATCCGTCACATCATCCTCGACAGCAGAGTCTGAATAAATGCGCCTCCGTCTTTTTGAAAAAAGGATATTAAACATCCGTCACATCATCCTCGACAGTAGTGTCTGAATAAATGCGCCTCCGTCTTTTTGAAAAAAGGATTTTAAACATCTGTCACATCATCTTCGACAGCAGAGTCTGAATAAATGCGCCTCCGTCTTTTTGAAAAAGGATATCAAACATCCGTCACATCATCCTCGACAGTAGCGCCTGAATAAATGCGCCTCCGTCTTTTTGAAAAAAGGATTTTAAACATCCGTCACATCATCTTCGACAGCAGAGTCTGAATAAATGCGCCTCCGTCTTTTTGAAAAAAGGATATCAAACATCCGTCACATCACCCTTGACGGCAGCATCTGTAGGAATGTACATCATCTGATAAAAAACAGAACGTTCTAGAATGAATGGTTCCTTGTAATTATTGGTACCTTGTTATAAACGTTTCCTTTACTGAAGTGATTTAAAAGCCGTCCAGGAAACTGTTCCACTAATATACTCGGTCTTCCAGTATTTTTCATCATTAGGTCGTCATTGAAATGTAACACTTTCTTGATTTGTGTTTTTCTTGACTGGTCTCAGCGATATCAAGCAATGATATATCCTTTTCATTACTAGTTAGAAGCTACACACTTTTCTGTTCCACTCTGATATATACTAATAACTGTTAAAACAATGTCTCAGATATAATTTCATGCCTAGCGGTTTTCATATTCCAGGAGTAATTGTGATCAGTATAGATTGTGTAACTACAAAATGACATGTTGAAGGTTGTCAATGTCGCCACGTTACCATAGTGACATGATTAAACCGTTATAGGTACGACGGACTTAGATTTCAATAGAGTAACATTTTGGTTTAGACTCCTTGGGAAACCATCGTCAGTAAAGATAAAAAATTCATTATTATTTAGGAATAATTGTCGCATATTATAAATGATTTGAAAAAGGAGCATGTAATTTACTAAAAATCGAAAGAGCCTCATATAAAGCATTAAGAGAATGAACACGTGATAGCAACGGAGCAAAGTAACGAAAGCATGTTGCTAGTATTTACCCGGTTTGTGATTATGTACCGTTAGAGAGAGCTTCTCTTCAGCTCGTTCAGCTGGACGTAAGATAAGAACGTTCCCATGTTCGAATCCATAATAGTGTTCCATGGTATTTCGAGGAAGAGTTTTTCCTAAAAGAAAATAAGTAAATTTTCTTCTCAATATATTGCTCGGCTAGTAATACCTTGTTAGCAGGAGGTCCCGGAATATATAACTGTTGTTTTGTATCAGTAATAGAAGATAGAAGATACAATCGACCAACATTTCGAATGTTTCATGGCCTTTTCTGGCTGTTCGTTCCTTCTTGATATAACTACAGTCCAGTGTATGGTATAGGTGAAGTTGGTGATAGTGAAAAACTGAGTTAGATTGTAATAGTTCTCTTCAGGAAGAAAACATCACTTTCTCATGGGGTTAAATCTACATGTGTCTGACCTTATTGATATACGATGTACATTGATACAACAATATTCAATACATAGCTAGGTAACGCCGACGTTCCAGTAAAACTAATTTTTACATACTCCTTAACGAATGTTTTACACCCGTCCGATGCAAAAATATATGAGAAAATTGGACCGAACATTACTTTAACCAGCTACCAGATATTTCACATCTTATATCCTATCTATTACAGAATATCAGTTTTCGTTTATCACTCAAGCAATATGGTCATGTTAATTTTCTTATCGCAGTTAAACATTTAGTTTTAGTTCCGTGTTATACTTTTTAAATCATTCGAATACTTGCAAGGTTCAGAATATGCTCTTGTACTTGGTGTTCTTCTAAATTTATCAGTAATATGAAATTTAATGAAATTTCCTGAATCATGCCATTTTGCCATTTCTGCGATCTCTTTGGATTTTATTCTGTCTCCTCCTAGGTTTAGGCCCTAAGCATCACTAATAATGTTGATTACCTCGTATTATGAGTACAGCTGATGGAATTAATTATCATAATTCCTAGAAGAATGAAACAGATATATAATGCAGTTTCATTCATTGTTTGTCTTTGCTGTATCTAACTCTAAATTATTAAAAGATGTTTAATTGTGTCTTTTGTCCAATCTTTATACATCATTGTTTTTATTTTTTTATTTGCTTCTCGTTATGATAATAATTAACTGTTTCCGTATTTCCCTATCACTTCTATAATTGATTTATTTTATTTATGTCTACATCTTCCTAATAGACAAAGGTTCATGTAATTCGTATCCCCTCTGCGAATATCGTCTATATCAGTGTTTTAATAGAGTTGTTTTGGTATCAGTTTGTTCAATTTCCATTTCTCTTCTTAATTTATCCTGTCATTTAGAAAACTCGCCTTATTCCAATAAATGAGTGGTTTGTATCGCTGTTCGTGTCAGTGTTTATATAGATGTTACTATTAATTTCATCATCTAGATTTTTTAAATGAATCATTTTTACTATTGTTGATGTCATCTTATAAACCTTTAAAAGTAAATTACCAATTAATGTCTCTATCAGTCGTTTTTTTCTGATATTTTATAAATTATCATTATTTTAAATATTCTTGTTATTGTTAATGTAAGCCAATGCCACATTGTCGAATATTTTTTGATCGTGTGACATGATAAGAAACGAAAAAACCTTATAAAGAAAATCACTTTAAAACAAAACAAAATCTAATCTTAACATTGTTCGAAAACAGTCCTCAGAGGAAGTATGAGTACACGGCTGTTTGATATATGTTTATCATGGAGACAAAACACGAGCACAAAGTAACATTGTAACCGACTAAGATACACTTAATGGATTGGAGTAAAATTCAGTTTTTATTTGAATTACATGAATATATCAATGTTTCATATTGATCCGGACGTTGTTATTGGGGTAAGTTGTTTGCGGCCATCTGTTGGCAATCAGTTGACCATGTATAATTATCACTTTATTACATACATTGTGATTAATTATCACATTATCAAGTAAAACGGAAGTATGATTCGAAATAAGTCGCTAATATCAAACATTTCAGTAAACCCCAGTTATTCTGCTATTAATGGATTACTAGATACCTACTTAAATATACAATGAACACATACTCATATGTGCTATCATCAATATGATGTAGTTAATACCAGATTATATAGTTGTTAGCGTGTCAGAACTTTAGGCTGAAATGTCCTGTTGATAACAGAAATAAATCACAAAGTTTTCGTGCTGTTGTATTATATATAGTAGACATAGATTAAAAATAAATCCCACTGATAAACGTCAACATTCCGCTGATTGTAGATCATCATTCCCATCGAAAATACACCAACTTATAGAGAGAACCTGCCCACAGAAAGTTTTGACAAGGCTTCCCGTAGAAACTAATAATATTTTGACACGTCTTTGAATGAAAAATGCGTGGATACATTTAGGTCTGTCTGTGTCAAAATGCCAAACAAATTGGAAATGGAAATATTTACTAAATACATCAGCAATGTCGAAAAACAAGCACGAGGACCGGTATACGTGAATTGTTAATGTGTTAATATACAGCGTGATCAATTTAGTGAAACATGGTCTGGGAAAAAAACAATGACTCTGGCTATACATGTTACAAACAAATACATCGACATTGTATCCAGAAATGTCAAAGAAACATCATTTAAAAAAATTCCAGTGGAATCGGTAAAATTGTGATAATATCTTTCGATTTTTGAAAAATATGCAAACAACATGACTTGCATGACATGAATCAAATAAAAACACCCTTTTTATATACGTTCAGTGGAATTGATAAAATTTTGATAATATCTTTCGATTTTTAAGAAATTTGCAATTAGAAATGAGTGTTTAATTTTCCTAAAATGACTTGCATAAAACGATTCAAATACTTTGCTTGGTAAATCAAGGGATTGTTTATGTAAAAAGGGTGTATGAATCTGAAGTATTCCTTTCGATATACCAGAAATGCACACGTGAGGATGAATTGAATACGTAACATTTAAACACTCTTGTCTTTTTAATTTCTTACTAAAATAATCCAATATTCGAAAATCATGAATCTAGATTTTAACATTCCTTTCAAACAAATTTGCTTTTCCTTAGTTGCCACATAGGTTAGGTTAGTATAACTGATGAACCTTAGAAGAAAGAAACAGCTGTATGATACAGTTTAATTCATTGTTTGCCTTTACTGTATCTAACGCTGAATGTATTTATAATGTGCTATCAACCTGTGTGTCTTTTGTACAATGTTTAAGATAGCAGATGTTAGACATTACTGGTTGACTGCATGAATATACACATGTACTTGACTTTGTTCTAAATTTATCTGATATATTGGAAATTTCGAAATGCATTTC